CTGCGGGAAATAGCCATTACCAGCATGTCTGAAAGGCAGCGGGACAGGCCTTTGTGTAGCATAGAGAACAGCCCATGGGAACTGAGAGAAAAGAAACCCATTTTCAGTGGCGCTCTTGCCTCTGCCATGTTCTGAATCTGCTGATCTGTTGTGTCCTTGGGTGCAGACATAAGCTTTAAAGGTGCCCTGCATCCTACTGAACTCTCCAGGAGTTAGGAATTAGGTTCCAGGGTCTTTTAAGGGGTTGGGCCTGAGCCTTGCAGCTGAGTGCATAGAAAAAGTGCAAATGAACGGCACAATTAGCTGCTGCTGCAGTGTTCTGAACTGTAATGTAGCTATTTTGTAACACTTGGTATTGTTTGCTTTATTTAATGTTGGTATCTTTGTACTGAATTGGCAACCTTAATTGGCTGGGTCTAACCTTACTCTGATGCCCAGTGGATGATAAAAGGAAAAAAAACTCTTCATCAGGACCACTTATTGGGAAACCAAGAGGGAAGACTGAAGTGCTCTCTCCTAGGGACACTTTGATCCTTTCTTAGGTGAGCACCTGTCCATGTAGCCCCTCATGGGGCTAAATACTGACTGAGGGCTAGAGAAAATTAATTGTTATATGGGACTGGAGTAGGTTCAACTGAAAAGATTGAGGAAGAATGGTTCTGTGAAAATTATCCCTAGAGATAATAATTTTTCATTTTGGTTGTATCAGCAATTTGAACTGAGTCATTCTGCAACTGCATCAATGCCAGACATGGCACAGGGGAGAGGAGGGCGAATGTGACACAGGACACAACACAATCTCAAATGTACCTTTTGGGACAGGGAGCCCCCAGAATTAATCTTTTAACTGTGAAGATTTGGGGTGAAATGAGACCTCTCATGGACTTTGAAAGAGCTGAGATCTCAGCTTTTCCAAGTAAGAGTGCAGGGGATGGGCTCCCAGAAGAAGATTCACACTCCTGACCTTGTTGGAGGTAAGTCTCACTTGTTCTCTGGTCAAAAGATGAGCACCTGAAGCTATTTTCAGTACACTGTGTGACTTCGTTACCTGTTTCTCTCTTCCTGTTGCAGAGTGACTTCCAAGGCACATTCCCTGTAAGAAGCTCTGTAAGAAGCTATGAAGTACTTGGTTTTTTAAATTTGGGTTATGGGACTTCTAAGGATCAGGTGCTGAAATATCTGTGACCAATTTTTGTGAATTTGAATGTTTTTGATGAAATCAGCTTCTGGTGCAATTGTCTGGCTTTAAGTGATGACGCTTAAGAAATAAGTATGCTCTGTCTTGTTCTTTTTCTGTATGTATATATACACACATACATAACAGAACTTAAGAGGCTGAGAGCAATAGTCTAAATGCAAAACTAGTGTTTTCCTCTTTTTCATTATCATCTCTTTTCTCTACAAGTATATGAATTACTTTAATGATTATTGGCTCAAAAATATTCTCACTTTAGCTAATACAATTCTATTTTGCTAATGATAGAGCTGTAAATATACTAATTTTTGCAGCTGTTTTTTGCTACTGTTCCCCATTCCACCCTCTCCTTTCTGCCAGCCTGCACTGCTTCCCCTTCTAGACCACAAATGCCACTTATCTTTCACTCCTGTTCCTAGAGGATATCTTTCTTTGCACTAGGTGGTTTTTTTTTTGCTTGCATTTCATCTTCCTTCTCCAAAAGTGAGTTTATGCATTTCCCAGGGATGGGCAGCAGGGGAAAGGGACAGAGCAGGGCTCTGCTCCTCTGCATTTTCCAGATAAGCGCCTCAGTCCTGGGTGATGTCCAAACAGAAGGATTCACTCTGCTCTCTGAGCAGGGCCATGTCTACTGTCTTGGCAGTCTGTGTCTTTTCCCAGAAACAGGAGAACAAAACTCAGGAGAGAATGAAATCCAACAGGTCTGGAGTCCCTCAGAGACAGGTTTTGGAGTTAATGACTGGGGGTGGGGGAGGCATTGGGCAGGTGAGAGGAAGAAGCTGTTTCTTTGGAATTCCAAGCTCCTTGTGGACTGTGGCAGAGAATGTTATGATTGCCTCTGAATCAGTGCTTTTTACAGCTAGAATTTAATAAACCCCAAATCCCCTGAGATGGTGAGGTGATCCTGTAGGGGCTACAGAGTATGGTTTCCTGTCATTGGCACTGCAAACTCTACATAGAAACAGATCCAGGTCTTGGGACAAAAGTTGTGGAGCAAAAAAACCTGTAGCAATTTGATAAACAATTTAAGGCACGCTCTCCACCTTAGGAGAGTTCTTGCCTTTCTTTGCATGTGGCAGCCAGCACATGGGAGCCCAACAAGCAGAGGTTTTACTTTGAGGCATAACCCCCCATCATGGGTTACAGCACATCAGGTTACATGAGTAAGTGCTGATGTAAAGGGCCACAAGATTAATTTGGGTTGTCAAAATACGTTCTTTACTGCAGGTGTGGTAGTTAGTAGCAAGATCATTAGCCTAAAGGTGAGATCCCCTCCCCTTTCTGTCTCATGAAGAGATTAAAAAAACCCACAACTCCTATAGATCAAAATCATTGCCTTAGCTTTTTGCTTAGGTGACACAATTAAAATCTATCTTTTTATGCATCTGCTGACTCCACACCATGTAGTCACTTTTAATCAAGCTCTATTACTTGCCTAGTCCAAGAACTATATTCACTTAATATTTAACTAGCTTGTGGAACTACTCCCAAAGCTCACTTCTGCAGTGTTAAAAGCTTGTAAAGCTTATAACTGCTCATGACAGTGTGATTCTGCACTCAAGTCTTTAAGATTTAAAAAAAAATAATAAAACTAATAGCCCTGCACTGCATTGCTTCTCAGGGCAGGTATGCATGCCCCTCCTCATATTCAAAATATATTAGAAAAATATACTGAAAAGCCATCTGAACATGGTCCTGGACAAGTAGCTTGAGGTAGCCCTACAAAGCAAGGAGAAGTCTGCAGAGGCCCCTGCCACCCTCAACCCTTCTGTGATTGTAGAACAAAGCCCCCAGAGTACAGGGCTACAACCCAGAGCCCTGCTTCTTGTCATCTCAGCTACTGCCACCTCAGACCAGTGGGAAGGCCCTGTCACCCATAATGGCCTAGAAAGTCAGGAAAATGTCCCAGACTCCATCCTTCAGCCTGTCAAAGGCTTTTTGCTACAAAAGGAACAAGACAGCAAATGGTGAGAAGGAAAGGAAGACTAAGTTGACAGTTATCGGAGAACTGAAAACTCATTGACTTTATAACCTTTCTTTAAAGCTTTCAAAGAAAGCAGGTAGCATCCATGCAGATATTTACAGGAAGTTTCATGGAGGGTATCAAAACTGTAACCATGCCATGTCAAAGTTACCTTGGTCACATAGGGTTACACAGACAGGAAAGGAAGTCTGCAGCCATTACACTAGTTAAATAAATGGTGTGCAAATCACCATTAAAGAGCTGCTGGTTCCTTAACTCCAGTGGCTACAGTAGTGCTTGGGCTACTGGGAGGAGGCCTGCAGCAGCCTTCTGAATGAACAGGAAGAATGGATGTCATTGGCTCCACAGCTGACACCTTCACTGAAAGAAAAAACCCTGTACTGAAAAATCCACCATCAGCAAACTCAGTGGGTAAGGCTGGTGTATCACTGAAATTTAAGTTAAAGCTCTCATGAGGAAATAAACATTCTCTGGTTGTACAGCCTATTAACAGTCCAGCCATTCGATTAAAAAAGTGCTAATACAACCAGTTACTGAAAAGCAGCATTACTTGGACTGCATGTATGTTCCTCATTACATTACCAGTTACTACAGAGGACTGGTTATAGAAAGATTTTATAAAATTCAAACTGATTCATCTCTGTGCACAAGGGACCTCTAGGAATAAAAACATGATTTATTACACTGTACAAAACTAGATTCAGAACAAGCAAGTGTAGAATATAGTACATGATTTATTTTTTCTGTACATTACATATTATTTGTTAAGTTTTATTGAGAAATCCAAAACTTCCCTGATTTTTCCTTTACCTGCCTAAGCCAAGCAATTAATTTTGTTCTACAGGACAGAAGAAAATAGCTTCCTGGAGAAGTTGTCATCTGATTAAACTCGGCAGAAGGTGCTTCAGCTCAGACTGACATTCAGCGTTTCCCATAACTTGTAAAGTTACAGCCTGGGTTGATAGTGAACATCCTGCCACTGTACCACTCTAGAAAGAAGTAGCTCCATTCTCATTAAATTTCAATAATGTCTTCTTCTTAGAAGATGAATTAATGCAATTGCATTTGTAGACATACCAAACAGTATAAATGAAAGCTGTAGCTACCATAAAAAAAAAAAATCACTTTCCAGTAGCCCCAGATCTGTCTCTTGAGTTATGCAGGAAGTGCTGAGATCGATTACACATTTAATAAAGTCCTTAAGAAAAATAAATATTTCTGCATAATGTATGTACAGAGGTTGGTTGATTTCCTTCATCCATAGGTAGCCACAACAGACAGAACAACAGCTGTATTGCATTCACTAGCTCACAATGGTTAATGTCACCTTGGTAACTGATGAATGAGTCCAAGAGAGTATTAGCCTGTTCTTTATAATAGTGCAAATTATATGGAGGTGTTTTGAAAACAGTGGCTTAAGGAAGGAAGGATTAACAAAAGAAAAACCCACCCTCCTTTGGTCCCTGTAAAATTAGTTTAACTTCTCCATGAAGTTTTCAAAACTCCTCCACATAATTTTAACCAACTATTAAGGCGTCACAATAATAGAATTAAAGTTGAGATTAAAATGGTCTTTCTTGGACTTGAAAAGAAGTCCACTGCAGATTTCCTGACAGAAATTTTCTTTAATGTGTCTCCTTCCCCTCAGCTCTTCTCTGCACAAAAACAATATACTGAATAAACCTATAATCCTCCCCACATCCTTTGTTTTAAACTACAACAAAATATCACACTTAAATATATTGCACAAAAAGCATAATGTATCCTGCCTGACTCTTCACAAAAATGGCCACAAACACAGGAGAAGAGCTATTGAACATCTCAGAATTTGAAGAGATCAATGAAATGCTGAGGAGACACTGGCATGAGACAGGTGCTTGGATCACTGGCTGTGCAGGGATGCCCTGTGTCCTGCAAAATGAAGGAGGAAAAAAGTTAAGTTCTCTTTCCATACCCACAACCTCCCTCCACCCCCAACCAAAAAGGCAAAAATTCACATATTGGCACATGCAGCCACTTCCACTGTAAACAACCTCATAGGAACTTGCTCTTTTTAAGAATTCACCGTATTTTCTTGACCTGTTTTAGCCTAAATTGTTGGGAAAACAGGCCTTTCCAGTTTGACTGTGGTAGTACAGGGTAGCTTCAGATTTCAGAAGAAAACCAACCCTTCTCCTCCTACCAAAACCAGAACCTGAGTCAGAGGTAAGAGCTCTTGAGAAGAGTTTCATATTCCTCATCCATTATTTTTCTATTATTTTCTTGCTTTTCTCCTCTTTCACTCCTACCTGTAAGCATTGCCTTATACAGAAGTTAGCACTCAGGCAAGTTAGGAACATAGAAGATATACAAGATAGAAAAGCCTTTTTATTACAAAGTCACTAAGCCTGCAGTACTTTAATATTACAGAAACTTGAGACCAGCACAATTGTCTGATTATTTAAGATTCAGACTCCTCTTCAAATGAAAGGTTCAGTTTTGTACCTTATTAGAACCCTCTGACAGAAGGAAATGCTGGAGGTGTCATGAGAAGGTCCCAGACAGCTCAACAGAAGTTAAACACCTTGACCAATAATGTAAGGCTCAGAAACTGTCTCTTCCCCACATTTTAAGGGGGTTCTCTCCCTTTTCGACCAGTGTTGATGAATCTACCACGTGGGGCAAGAAAACTTGAGTAAATACATGGTAAGTAGACCACAGACCACTGCAGTCTCCATTTCTTTCATTTCCACAGGAAATGTGGTTACATGCAATTCAGTTAACAGAAAGAACAAACCCGTAAGTGTATTTTGTTCTCACTTGGAAACTTGCACAGAGAAAGTGCTGTCAAAGACGTCACATTCCCTTCCAAAGGCTTTGCAAGACCAAAGTGCACAAGGTTAAACACATTCTGAATACTACTCAGCCTTTCCAGTGAAGACTCTTACAGATACCTCTTACAGAGATTATCAGATACAGATATTATCTGTATTTTTCCATGAAGTCTATAGATGAAAGTATCATGTGGTATCAACTCCTCCTACTTTTTTTTTTTAGATTGCTTTAACATCACTTGAGAAGCAGTCCTTAGATCCATGACACACAGAGGGGAAATAAACAAACAGAAAAGAGATGAGAGTTCAGGTAGCACTGCCTGTCTGGGGAAGTTGCAGATGAGAAGGAACAAGAGTGTTAGACCAGAAGTGTTGAACTCAACACCTTCATCTTGAGATGATGTGCACAGAAGAGACACACCACAGCAAACACTCAAAGGTAGCTGCTAATGAACTATTATCTTCTCTACCCACTGCCATGTCAATGTCATGTCATTACTTTCCTAGTTTCTATGAAAAAAACCACCATCAGAATTAGGATTCTGGGAAAGAAGCTTGGGTTTATCCCCTTTTAGTGCTTACTTATACTCCTAAATACTTTAAACAGAATGTGTAACATTTAATCTGCTTTGCTCTGCACATCATCATAAAAATGCTTTTGAAAGCTCTACTCAGTCAGGAATTGCAAGTCCAATAAAAATCTCAGTAAGATCAGTTCTTGGTGTTTTTAGTTATTAAAAGCAACAGAAACACTAATTTTACAGTGAAAAAAAGTGATGAGAACTCCAAAGAAGAATCATAACTTTCCTGTAATTATGAGTATTCCCCCTTGCAAGAAAATGTATTTCCCTTGAAATAACATTTAATAAATAGCATTCAAATATTTATTTTCAATGTATCTACTTAAAGCTAACACAATTCTTTTAAATTAAAAAGAATTCACCAGGAGTGTTTACTGGCAAATGTCATTGATTTCCTCCTCAAATTTTACCATAACTGGAAGTTCGGAAGCTCCCATAATACTTTTGGAGCTACAGTCCTTTTCTGGGGAGTTATTTCCACCTTTTCCTCATTTAGGAAACAACATTATAGTTGCCTCCCCCCACTCTCACAAATCATGCACCCTGTTTTGCAAATTCTTTTTCAGAAAGACTCTTTCATAAAAGTGTGACTACATCATTCCAAGTGGAATAAAATCAGTTTTAGTACTTTTGCATTAAACAAAGTTAACTGAGGTTCACGGTACCGTCTTCAGATTTAAATACCAAATTAAATATGTTAAGGGGTGCAAACAGTTTCTAACACTGAGCACAGAATAACCTACTTCTTAGCAAGTCTCAATGATCTCACTGACACCATGCACCTATCTTCAGTAGAAATTGAATTATGCTCCCTATTTTAAACAGCATTACCAAAGAATATGGCAATTATAAAAACCAAATCTTATTAGAAACTGAGATGGGAAGTCACCATTACCCTATCTAATAGGGAAACAAGTAACAAGCAATAAGACAAGAGAAACTATTGCTGCTGCTAAATTGATGTGGGGAGACAAAAAAATCAAAACAAAGCGTTTCAAACAATTCAAAATGAACATGTTATTTGCTTTGACATTACAGAACAGCACCAATGAAAACATGAGACACACAGGAAATACCTTGAGTAACAAAGCAAGGTGGTAGTCCTTTGAGATCGTGAAGAAGGAAGCAGGAAGGAGAGCCGTAAAGTAAAAGAAGTAGAGTTAAGGTTTATTGAAGCTAAGGTTCACGTGCCATTTAGAAAAATAGTCTTTTATTCTTCTGGCAAATCACAAGCAAGCTGGAGAACCAAAACCAGTGCAAGCCCCAAGACAACTAAAACCAAGTGTGGAGAATATCACTTATGCAGAACAATGACACTATTTTATGTAAAGCCCTGGACATTGAAAGAAGAAAAGGCATTTCAGTTTCTATGGCTGTCTCGGGGATAGCTAACTCAGTAGCACATTTCAGTTAAAAGAAAATAAAAGAATTGCCTGCAGTTGCAATGTTGCCTAGTGGAACAGAAGAAATGGTATACTTAAAAAGCATTTACAGAGGCAGTCAACAATTAGTCTGCCATTATTTTTACACGACTGAAATTACATATTTTGCTCATTTTAACCGTAAACAAATCAAGTCACTTCTCAAAGACAGTCATTTGATGTGAAGAGTTTCTTATAGCCATTCCCTCTTTTAACACAGGAGAATACAAGATGTTATGTTGTATCACTGCACTTCCTACAATGAACTTAGGAGTCTCCTTCTTACTGTATTTAACATTACTATAGTCACAGCTTTTAAACAAATACAGGAATTCAAATGCCACTTATTGGAAGTTCTTAAGGACTTCCCAAAAGTAACACTAAGATTATTAAAGCATACTGAACAGTGGGGTCATTTCCCTATTTCAACTCTTTGCTAATTCAATTCAGTAGCCATCAGTCCCTTCTTTGGCAAGGCTTTCTTTAAAAGGACACAAGACACAGGACTGAAAGAATTCCCTGTGTGCAGCCCTCATCTTGCCAGCAATGAAATGATATTCTTTTCATCACTAGCTAGGCCTGTGCTTTGTGACTATTCCAGAACCTTGCTGCTTTGGTTTTTAGAAACCCTTAAGTCTCAGGATACGTTTACCCACAAGAAGTTTCTACAACTTATTTGCATCAAGGCTGTGGCTTTACTTAATTTCCCTAAGTAATCTCACATTTATTTATCCTTTCTCTGTTTCCAAAAAGACTTTATGGAGAGCAGTCACATTCCTTGTTCACTTTAACAAAGCTAAGGTAAAAGAAATTAACCTCTGCTGGTCTTCTTCATGGGGCAGGGGGATGCAGTATCCCAGATGAGTGCCATTTGACAAGGGATAATCCCTTTCCTCAACTTGCTGGCTGCACTCATGTTAAAACAGCCCATCCCAAAAAGCTACTACAGAATTTTAGTGCAGAAGCATGCAATTAATTTGTAACCACCCCCTCATTTTAAGACCTGCCCAAATCTCTAGGATGAGGCAGTCATCAGTGGAATGGTGATTGAGTAGGTACTGCTCATCAGTCCAAACAAAGTCCCTTTACAGCTTACTGTACTGTGCTTCACTGAAAATGTAAAACCACAGAATGAGTGCTATAATTCCAGCAGACTGGAGTAATCAAGGTAACAAGACATCTGCTTGCTGAGATTCACTGCCTCTTACTGTCATACACAATCTTCAAAGTTAAACATGTAATTCCAAACACATTTTAGTCATTCCCAATATTTAAGTGCTATACTTTCAATTATATCAAGATCAGAATGAGGGAAATTTACCATAGAAAGCATTAACCTTTCACACAAAGCCAGATAATCCAAAGAAATGAAACAAAAAATGTCCACTTCTATGCATGTTACGTTCTTACCTTTAAAGTTTCACTTTCAAAGGGAAAACTTTACCCTACATATTGAGCAACATAATAGAGACTAATTCCACTATAAAGTCATTCTTGACACACATTCTTTAGCAAATGCCCAGGCTTTTCACAGCAGAAGCCAATTCTGACCACCTGCTCTTCTATTAATTTAACAAAAAATAGCAGTACCCGTGAGGACTCCTGTGATACCAAGAACATCCAGCTTTAAGATAACACCATTCAGTAACATGCTACTTCTATGAAAGCTACTTTATCCTGTTAAACAGCCTAGCTTTTCTATGGAAAATAAAAAAGCCTCACCCTGACATGCAAGTCCTCTTAAAATTACAGAAAGATAACACAAGAGCAACTCATTTCTGTGGATTAGGAGTATTTGCCAAGATTTCTTGAACATTTCATGCTCTTTGCTGTTTATTGAGCACTACCCCTACCTGGTCTTTGAGCTGCAAAATTAACGAAGTCACATTAACTAGAAGGCTAGATTTTACTTCGTGCAACACAAAGTAAAATCAGGACTATGTGTTCTCACATGATTTAAACATGAAAATGCCCTACAGAAATTAAAGTCATCCCACAAAACAGAATATGCTTCATGGTAAACATCAGTATCAACATAAAATGCATTTTGAATTAAGTTCTAAACATTCTTCCAAGCTTCATACGGGACAGAAGCAAGACTATAAAAAGGGAGTTTTACACCTGCATGGTAGGAATGCTATAGTAGTAAGTTCTCATTAGAGATGTGTTGACTGCCATGCCATCATCAGAAAAGAGATGCCATTAAATGGCTAACTTTCCTGTGTGACCTAGTCTAGGTGACCCTGCTCTGGCAGGGGGGTTGGACTGGATGATCTTTTGAGGTCTCTTCCAACTCCTAATATTCTGTGATTTATGCAAGGTCCTAAAAACTTTACACAAGATTACAGATACAAGGAGACAGAGTGCAACTATTCCCACATGGCACTTTTGTTTGTAATTCTAAGTACTGAGGTTATCGGATATCAAGAGAATACTACTAGATAATGTTTAGAATTTACTACTGATTTTATATGGAAGTTTGAGATACAGTTTAAAGGTTAGGTATTAGTTGTTTAATCACATTTCACATGAGAAATCTGACAAGATTATCTTAATATTTTTCCATTCAGATGATCAGGAGTAGCCATTGGAACTTATTTCTGATTATCTCTTTCAAAGCTCTTACCTTCCAAAACAGAATACTACAGTGTCGACAGAAATGCAAGGTGTCCCCGTACTGCTCCTTTATTGGGTAATATTTCTGAAGTGCAAAGTACATCAGCTTCCAGTCAATGTGACCTTTCTCTGATGGAATTAAATGCCTACAAAACTGGACATAAAATTAATATCTTCTTTTAAAATTGTTTAAAAACCTTGTCAAATGATGTAAAGAACTGGGGATGGGGTAGTTAAACGGAGGTTTTGTAACTGGAATTCTTTGAAGTCAAGAATCTGACATCATACATCTCAAAAAGCAGTGAGAGAGATCTAACCACAAAAAATGGAAGATAAACTCAAAATAGGAGAGCACATCTGCCAAGAAAAAGTAGGACATAAACAGCTGATTTAAATCCACTGCCTTGGAATTATTCTAATTATAGTCAATAACAATGTAACAAAAACAGTATTTAGAGCCATAAGTAATGATTTTTATACTTAACCCACTCAGGAATGAGATTTAAAAATTGTGCATTACAAATAGTAGTTTTCTGTTAAGACAGTAACTATAGTTTTAAAGAACACTTTTTCTTTCATTTTAAATGTACATCCATGATTATTTTTCAGATATACTTACGATCTTTCCAGAAGGATAGCAACAATCAGTGATTGATGTACTTTTTGAGGATGTAATCTGCATGTAAAGGTTAGCTGATGCACAATGGCTGTTTCTCCCCAGCTTAATACACAGCCAAGGCTTATTAAGTATGCATTTGCAAAAGGCTTCTCGTTCCACTCAGTGTGGATTAACGCTAATACATGAAGGGCTTTCTTCATTCAGAAGACGACTTCTAGATTAGGAGAATAGCACTGCCTTTGTGATTACAGCTACACTTCATTTCATTATAGGTTCCCTGTGTAAAGTTCCCATTTCTTTCAAAAGTGCTCTTCAGATATCAAGTATGTTTTTGTAGTTGTTTAAATGGTTCAAAAAATACACTGCAGAGGACAGGAAAAACAACCTATCGTGACTCCACAGCTAATCAAGGTAGAACACTTTTGAACAGAAGAGGCAGAATTTAATATTGGAAAATAAATAAAATAATTACTCTGTATCAGTAATAACCTGATAAGAGGTTTAATGTGAGCATTTAGGAATGCACTGGAAACACAGGATAGAAGTGTCCTTTACAGGGCACTAGAGGCTAGCTAATTCTACTGAAATGCTGGTCTTTTTCCCAGCTTTACTTTAGTGTAACAGCTTCCACCCTAGCCAGTTCTGTCACTGTTCAGTAAAGCTTACCTCATCTACCCTCAAAATCCATTCAATTGCTACATTAAGCTCACACTTCTTATCCTCCTAACTTCACCTTGTACTCTTCTGAGCTGCCTCTGAAAGAGGGTTTTCCAGTTTGTCTTTGTCTGTCTATATTTTCCATGAAGTTCATTCTAAAGCCTTTCATCTCACCAAAATTCTTACTTGGGTCAACTCCATGTCAGTTAATTTTCTTCACTCCTACTGTTCCTGTTATAGTAATAATTCATCTGGTAGTCACTGACCAAATGGCACCACTTCAACCTATCAGATTTAAGAATTAGTATCTTCACTGGAATATACTACATTTTTAAAGTTCTTCCTCCAGTTCCAATATGGCAACTTCTATTTTCATACCTTTATTTTCACCTAGTCTGACTTTGTCCCAGCATATATTACTGTCAGAAATCAAAGACAGTTCTGGAGGCATTCCTAGATTACTTTAATGCTTTTTATGAAGAAGTGACAGAAAAGTACCATTTCTATTTTTGTTCTTAATTTAAAAGTCACAAGCATTTGATTTATTATTTTTTAGTAAGAATCCAATTTTAACTTCACCAGACTGTTCACATGGCCTAGAAGTTTGAGCAATCTCTCTGCCTACCTTGATTCGTAAAAGAAATTCAACTTTAGGTACTAAAATTAGAAACACCTTAGAGATATCCTCTACCATGCTTGTTGGAGTCTGTGTAGTAAAAAAATCATCTTATAGTAGATGTTTTTAAAGTAATCCAGGGAATCAGCCTGATAGTTGTCCTAAATTCACAGACATGCTGAATACAATTTTTAGTATGATCAAAGCCCAAAACCCCAACATTTTCACCATTACTGTGTGGTGTCACATTTTTATCCCAAAAAGAGCGAGTTCCCACTTCATTATCAGTACATTTCAAAGCAAAGGCCACATTTATGCAAATGACAGTTTATTACCTGCTTTTCTGCAAAATGGTACTGGCAGAGTTTTTTCCACAACTGTCTGTCTTCACTGAGCATGTACAGAGTTGGGGTCACTTGACCCAGAGTAATAATGTCCCAGCCATCAGAGAACCTGTATAAGATGTTATTCAGCATATGCAGAGGGAGATCACTAAGTGTAAGACCGTTGTTGACGTGCTGGAAAGAAGAGTTGAAGCCTTTTTAATTACAAACACTTGAGAGTATAATATACAAACAATATTCTTACTTTAGAGAGCTCAGGTCTTAGTTTAGTTTGTACAAAACCACTGAGTAATATCTATGGTTAACTCTGTGATACTTTGATTACTTGGCTACGATTATTCTCTAATGGCTGCTGTTGAAAACGTAAATGACTGCAGGTACCAAAGGAGCTGCCGTCTGTAGCTTTAGAACTTACAGATTTCCTACTGTTAAAATAAACAGAGGCTAAATTATTTAAATTTCAAATAACTTAAAAACACTTCCATTCTCAGAAAATAATTCAAGAGCATACAGTCTTGAAAACTATGATATATGCAATTCTGCCTTTGAGAAAAGCATGCTAAAACCTGAACTATAATAAAAGGTGTCTATAATAGAGGTGTGAACTAATTATTCATAACTCGTAAGATAACTAGTTTCTCAGTTTTTAATAAGAAACCAAACACGTCAATTTGCCTTAAGACAACTAGAGTACAGAACACAGTACAGAGCATAGGACTGATGAGCAGAAGTATATAACAAAAACATTATGAAAGTCAGAAGCAGAAGATAGTACGTTTGTTTCTGAAGTTTGGAGACAGTTCCCCTCATATGTAAATGAGGAACTCTGCAGGGAGCGACAGATCAGAGCACTGAGAAAGTTTTCATTGGGAGCATACACCTCTGCTGAACTCTCTCTTCAACGGGGTAACCCACAGCACAACTCATACATGACTGATTTTTGAGCCCACGCTGCCAGGTGGCGCAAAGCCTGCAGGACTGGAGGCAGTGTCCCAGCTGGCCAGGAGGGAGCTGCAGGCCCCACCTTGCAGAGCTGCCCAGTTCCACAGCACGCTGGCAGGCTCCCACTCAGGTCAGTTTATTTCACGACCATTAATCTCACTTATAGACCAGACTTTCCATAGTGTCATCTGTTATAAACATCTCTGGGACTATTGTTCTGTTCAGGAATATGTGAGGATTACAGATGCAAGATTTCTCATCAGTTGTTTCATCCAACATGAAACAGCTCAGATGGAAGTGCCACGCTGGAAAGAAACACAGCAACTGCAACGGCTCAAAACTGTCTATGCTGCGGTGGCTTGGCATATGAAAACTGCCGAAACTGGGTTCCCTATTTCTCCTTCCTATTCCAAAATTGGCTCTTTTATTCAGATACCTGGCACACACAGCAAAGATAATGTTAAAATTTCATAACTGCAAGCAAACAGATGAAACAGTTGCGTGATTTTACTGTGAGCAACTTCTTGTAGCACACCTTCCTCTAGGTTAAATAAATTGCGTACTCATCATCAGAAGCTTCCAGTAAAAAATCCAAAACAGCGCATACCACATACTTTGAAGAAAGTCGCATGATCAGAGTCCAGATGCTGAAGTCATTATCCTTTTTTAACAAAAAGCCACTGTGCTAATGAAAAAAGCTGTAAAATTGCTACTCGAATATTATATTTTTGTTTCCTTGATCCACCTCTAAAATTCCTTTTCACAGAATCACAGAATCACAGA